ACAGAAGAAATTAAAGGGTAAATAGTTTACCTACATGACTCAAATAAGGTGATTATTACCAAATTAACAGGGAACTCACAATGAGAGAAAATATTTTTGGATTGGGAAACCACAGCACCCAGTATTAAAGAACATACGTTATGACTTTACTGAAGGTTACCGAAGGCTCTCTAATGAACTACCGCCCTAACCAGCGATAGTTTAAGCGAGACAAATCCCAAAAACGATGGCTGGTTGCGAGAAATTCCTAGCAAGTTGGGCCGATATCTTAATTTAGCACAAAAGAGTACTGCAGCTCATTCTTCTTCGCGGCGAAGGCAGTGATGTTGATAAAAACAACCGTCAGACTTAAGTAGAACTGGAAATATTTGAGGAGAATATGACCCAAGTTGCCTATATAATATGCATGAGACAGGTTAATTTTTTGCTTGCTGTCTCGTTATTCTGTGTAATTGGCCAGGTCCCACCATTACGCATGTTGCGTGGGCCACAGAATCATGTATCTAACATAAACAATACACCCTTTATGATTGTATATCCCTTTCAGTTTTGTTGTATCAGAACTGGTGGCACTTATCAAGTTAGGGAGATTAAAAGCTTATTGAATGTCACAATAAATGCCACTTCACCTTTTCTCATCTTTACGAAAGTCAACGTCTCGGTGGTAGTGAGTAACACACGTCGAGGCGTGTCAGTTGCCCTGATAGATCATCAGTACGTGTGTACACAGACGGGCAATACCCGTTACACTTGGAATATCCCAACGCCGACTACTTCGATGGATTCATCGATGGATGATGTGGACACCACATGCGGTGGTCGTCCTCAAATCAACAGGAAGAGTATCCGCTTCTAACACACTCGCAATGGAAGTGATTATAAAGCTACGAGTTTTTATTGGAGATCACACGGTCTCCGATGTACATCAACTGGATCAAGAGTCGATAACTCAACACTTTGTAAATTTTGCTGCGTATGAGCAAGGAAAATTGGGATTTTATCGCAGAACTTACTGACGCCAGTTCCTTCACCTACACTACAAGTTGTGGTAACATCGTCGGTACACCCGGAACGTTCCGTCAAAGTGAAAAGCATTTACGGGTCCAAAGGTGAAAATCTTGCGCTTTGGCAGCGAAATATGGACATCGCTATCGCGATGCCCAAATTCGTGATTATCATTGTCAAATGCCATTCCATGGCTCACTCGGATGGCCGTGCGAGTGATCAGACGATGACATGGGAAGTCAACCACTCCGGTGACTTTGCCACATGGCAAGAGCTGAAGAGGGCCATGAAACCAAT